ATCTGAGTATGGATAGGTCATTACATTACGGTTTAACATTATCGCAAATGTATTTCGACTTGATTCACATACTTCAGTTTTTATAAGAATTGAACACACCAATACCAAGTCTAAATTCCTTTATGCTCTATATGATAAAGACCTTTTGGGCGGCAACTTTGCCAAGTTATCAGGCTTTGGGGCGAAATCGTTGTGATAGGCAAAAAATGTCAAATAGACTGGGTGGCTCAATAACAAGTTCCAATTGTCAATTCCTTTATTGCGAAAGAAATTAACTTTTACGTTGGCATTTTTAGGATCATTAATACCGTCCTAACATTTTCTCACTTATCTCCCATTTTGGTTTATTACTTGTGTTGATCTTCAAAACTTTCCCTTCAGTTTGCAATGAGTTGCATCATGTACGAACTTGGAGCGTGACCCGCTTTCGTGGCCTCATTAACACCAAACCTAGCTCCACACCACTAGCCTCCTTCCATGTAACTGCTCTTGATGAAACCGAACCAAGGCAGCTAACTGATTCTGTTTTAGAGTCTGCCTTCGTTTGTAACCTTAAGCAGAAACAACGGCAGGAGCAGCAAAGGCAGCAGCAGCAGCAGCAGCAGAACACGTCTCAATCTGGTCTCCCTCATTCCCATGTAGCCCATTTGGGCAGGTCGAATTCGGCAGTGGCTCATCAGCCAAGCTTAGAGGCCAAGTAAGTCCTTTTTTTATGTCCAAGGCTGAAAGCCTTTAGACAAGTCTTCATATATGTTTTGGACATTGGTCACTGGCGTCGCATGCACTCCTATTTCAGATAAAATTATTTACTTTATTTAGACCCAATCCGGTCCGATTAATAATTCAGCTAAAATGATCGTGAAAATATAAAAACAATAACAAATCTTTAATCACATCTATTGTCTAACATCTATATATCGCGTTTTTTCCTTCCTGGTGTCATAATGCTTACAAGCAGTTAAGTTTTATGTATTACAATGAGTCTGTCGTTTATTACGCTAGGCTGGCTGCGGAGATTCAAGTATTATATGACGTCTAGAGTTAGTATTTAGCTGCTGAAGGCGATTCTGGCTTAAGATCACCTGATTTATTAAAAATTTTTGTTGTATGTCAAGATTAATTTAAGGCAAGCTTTTTCACGAACTTGAAGAAAAACTCGCAGTCTTTGATAGAAACGTAATCACAGGCTTGGTTTGTTTTGTTGTTCCGAATGATATTCTTAATTGTATTAAATATATTTCATCCCTTTATGAACTCTCTTATATATAAGATATGAAGACCAAGATGGTGTGGCCTTTAGTGTGGTCGCAGTCTCCTTTCGTTGAATAGAAGTTG